ACACTGCTAGTTATGTTCCCTGAACCTGAATCGGAAATCATGGGGGAGTTTTAAATTAAGGATACTGTTATAGACCTGATCATGCCCCCACCCCAAATTCATATATTGAAGCCCTAACACTTTTAACAATATGTGACTTTATTTGGAGATGGAGCCTTTGAGGAGATAATTAAGGTTAAAAGAGGCTATAAGAGTGGGGCTCTAATCTGATTAGTGTCATTACAAGAATAGACACCAGAGAGCTTGCTTGCTCATGTCCTCTCTCTCTCTCTCCATATACACACAGATATTTTATCTGTAAAAATATCTAGAACTATGAAAATAATAAACTTTGTGTTAAGTCACTTTGCTTGTTTGCTGTTTGTTACAGCACCAATAAGAAACTAATATGAGTGATTTTTTTCTCAGTATTTTGCAGATGTGAAAAATGCCACACACTTAATTCATGCTCTGTTTATATAAGAGAAGAGGCTTTGTAAGGACGTGGTAAGAAGGCAGTAATCTACAAGCCAGGAAGAAAGGATTCACTAGAAACTAATACTGATGGCAGCTTGGTCTTAGATTTTTGGCCTTCAGAACTGTGAGAAAATAAACTACTGTTGTTTAATTCATCCACTCTGGTATTCTATTATAGCATTCTAGGTAGACTGATATAGATATAATCTATCATAATTAATATAGGATTATCCAGCTATTCTATTACTTCTTATATTAATTTTGGTAAATTATTTTTTAAGAAAAATTAAAATGTCAAGTATTTTGATATAAATATTTATTCTTAGTATCTTCTTATCTTTGCAATTGGTAGTGTCTGTGGTGATGTTTCATTTTTCATTTCTGAAATTTGTACTTGAGTCTTCTTTTCCTATCTTGGTCAGTCTACCTAAAGGCTTATCAATTTTATTAATCTTTGCAAGTAACCACTTCTGGCCTTGTTGCTTTTCTTTAGTGCACATTTGTTTTTAATTTTATTAATTCTTATTTTTATTGGTCTTTTTTCTTCTTTAAATGTTTGAGAAACTTCCAGTGAAAAACCTTGCTCTACTATGAAGCTGACTGCTTGACAATTCCTGTTCAGTCACCATGAGCTTTTCATCACCATTGTAATTCTTGTTTTTCAAAATGAATAGAAAGATAAAGACTATTAGACATTTTTGGAATAATTGTGAAATGAAAAATACAAAAACGAAAAAATAGAAACCCTAACAAATGACTAAAAATAAAATCTAGGCATACATAGACAATGTGGGGAAGAGAAGGAAACTTCATAAAAGTCTTTAAGATTCTTAGAGAGCTATAATAAGATAATGCATCTCTGAAACCAAAACCGCATGTTATAAATGAATACAGAATAAGAAAAAATGCAAAGTACAAATATAACGATATAAATTATTCAACAAAATTCTGGTGAAAAATAGTTGAAGAAATCTTCTAGAAACTAGAATAAAAATGTTAAAGTAAACAAGAATCAGAGAATAAAAAACAATAATTTAGGGGATTATGCCAGGAAAATGACTTTCAATCTGTAAATTTAAATACAGACAGGGCATGAATTAAGTGTGTGGCATTTTTCAGATTTGCAAGATACTAAAAAAAAAAAATTTCCCCCCATAATAGTTTCTGATTGCTGCTGTAACAAACAGCAAACCAAGTGGCTTTAAAAAAAAAAACCCAAGTTTATTATTTCACAGGTCTAGAGGTCAGAAATCTGAAATGGGTCTGCAGGGCTATATTCCGTGTGTGTGTGTGTGTGTGTGTGTGTGTGTGTGTGTGTGTGAAGAGTTTTGTTTCTGTGTGTGTGTGTGTGTGTGTGTGTGTAAGAGTTTTGTTTCTGTCGCCCAGATTAGTAAATTTGTGTAACAGAAAACCCCAAAATATCAATGGTTTAATACACTTTTTTTCTTCCAAAAGATCTTTTTGTGACAAAACGGGCTTCTAGAAGTCACCTGCTATCCTTTGCTCAGAGCTCCTCCCTCTAACTTCAAAGCCAGCAGTGTAGAATCTTTTCCCCTCTCTGACATCTTGTCTCCCTCTTATAAGGACTCTGATGATGTCCAGCCACCCAGACAATATTTAGGGTAATTTTCCCCATCTCCTTAATCACATATGCAGTTCCTTTTGCCATATAAGATAAAATATCAGTAGGTTCTGGAGATTCAGCTATGTACATCTTTGGGGGCTGTTATTCTGTCTACCATACTCCCATTTAGCTTTTTTCAGGAAGGTACTAGAGAACAGAGTTCATTTTTAAAAAGGAATTAAGCAAAGAAAAAAGAAACAAGTGATCTAACACACAGGAGAGCAGTGATATGCTGGAGAAACCAGCAATCCTGAATAAACTAAAGGTAATGCTCTACGAGGAATATCTGTAAGGAAAAAAAAATCTACTAGATTAATTGATATATTTTACTGTGATGCTTTAGCAGTTTGCCAAAGTATTTCAGGACAGATTAATAATAAATACATTAAAAATGGCAGTTATTAAGAGAAAGGAAAGTAAACAATTATATTAAAAGTTAATGTGATCTTAGTATACTATGTAGCTTAGGGTTGAATGACATTTACCTAGACAGTAGTGATAACACTAAACGTTGATTTAACCAAAACCTATGATATCACTATATGGAGAGGTGAAGGGACAAGAAGAGTGTATGAGGTACAAAGGGAATGTTCACACACTTGGAGGTGGTGTTGTTACTAAAGACCTATGTCACTGTCTTCCATAGGAGAAAGTCAACAGGTAATGTCTGAAATTGGAAAATCAAGAAATTGCAATGTAAGTATATTTAGACATAGTGAGTAACAGAAGAAATATTTAAAATACTTGACTTTTCCTTTGGTGAGAAGAATTGAGAATAGAGTGGAAGGGTTAGGGACTACAGGGTTTTCCTTAACCTAGAACGTGGCAAACTGTTAGTGCTCCCCAGTACATGTATGTTTCTCTACATTTCCCAGACTCCCCTGCAGTTAAAGTGGTGGCCTTGGGACTAAATTCTGACCAATAGAATGTGGCCAAATGGATATATCATTTTTAGGGTTGACCTCTATAATTTCTTGGGTGATATTTAACATACTTTCTTTCTTGTCACATAAGCTATGTACCCCAGGTCCTAGAAGGCAGAAGAATCATTCAAAATAAAAAAATTTGGCCTTGAATTTAATATTTCATCTGACTAGAAATAGCCACAATGGATCTTTTGTGAGAAAAAAACCATGTGTATTAAACCATTGATATTTTGGGTTTTTTTATAATAGAAGTAAATTCACTATGCTGGTTTTAAAACATGGACAAGAATTATTTGCCAATCCTTTTAGAAGAGGGATCTATGTCTCCTTTCCTAAAACAGAACAGGACTTGTGACTCACTTCTAAGCAAAAGAAAGTGAGGGAAGTAGCACTGTGTTACTTTTTGAAGCAAGGTCAGAAAAGGACAGGCAATTTTTGCTTTGTTCATTGCAAAACTCCCTTTGGAGCTCTGAGTCTAAGGTAAGAAGTCTGATAACCTTGCTGCCATACTGTGAGGAAGCCCTAGCCATATGGAGAGTTATGGAAGCTCTGCTAGCATGCCTACCCACTCTAGTCTTCCTAATTGAATTACCAAAAAAAAAGTGATAACTGTGACCTACTGACAATACCACCTGTGAGCATAATAAAATGTTTGTTCCAATCCACCATATTTTGGAGTAATTTATTCGATGGCAATAGCAAACCAATGCTCTAACAAGTAGTATCATTTGCTTTTTAATCTGTACAATTTAACTACTTTGATAAAACTTAAGAGTTAAGCTAAAAAGGAAAATGATTGTGAATTATTTATTCCTGACTTAGAGACTTTGCTCTTCCACTTTCCTTACCCAGAAAGTTCACCTTTCTCCCTAAAACACTGGCTTTCAAACTTTTTATAGTTTGAAATACACTAAGAAATACATTTTACAAACAAGCCCTAGTGCATACATACAAGCTATATAATTGAAATCTCCATAAAGTAGTACTTTACTAAGTAAAATTAAACTTACATGCACTGATATTTTCAATCTATATTGTTTCCTAAGTGCTTACAAATGGATCAAGACCCCACTAATGGGTCCCATATAATTCCCTTTACAGTTGAAAAACACTGTCCTAAACCTAAATCATTCTTCAAGGCCTTACCCAAGTTGGAAAAAGAAGCCTTTCGTGACTACTCCATTCTGAGCTTTCTTGAAATCCCTGTAATTTATGAAATGGCGTTTTAATCTCGATAGTAAGAATATTGCATTTTCTGTACTACCCATGCTTTACTTGTATCGTGAACACTTCTAGGGCATTGTAGTATCCTTTATCTACCACTTGATAAATTCAAAATACTCAATAAACATTGCTCAACATTTGACCGTTGTGTTTCAAAATCTTAGCTGTTAAGAGTGTACTTCAATTTGGGCATTCTTTGGGAAGAGGCATGGAAAAATGGTCTAGTAACTTATCCACATATCACACTTAACTTTAGACTGGAAACGCATACAAAGTACTCTTAACTCTATATGCGTGTTTTTATGCAAACCAAATCATAAAGATACAAATGATTTTTCTAATAGCTTTCATTACCATACAGCGCATGAAATAATGATACTGATATAGCCACGAAAGCGTACTAGAGCCAAATTCTTATAACTAAAATATCTTTGAGATGGGTAAAATGCGAACTTTTCTCTGGGTACAACATTTCTTCACAACTCACTGCAACTATGCCTTCAGAGTATGTTTCGAGAACCGCGTCCCAATTATGTTGTCCCAGCAAGGATCAGGAGGAAGCTGGTTGAAAGGCTGCGAGGCGTGAGCCAGGTCCCAGACGAACTCGGCCCTGCCCCCGCCGGAGCCTCTCAGGAGCTGTACAACAAGGCCGCTGAGTGTGAGGGTGAGGCAGCACTTCCCGTTTAACCCCGCCCTGCTGTCGTGCCTGCTCGTGGCTTCAGCCGCGCGAACTGCGGCGTGTCGGGCCCGGCCCTAGCAACACCACTAGTAACGGCCTGGCTCCTCCCTCTGGTGTTACCGGGAAAGCGCTCCGTCTGGTCCGTGCGCGATCACGGCCCGGCGCGCGCCTTGGGCTCGGGTGGAGTTGAAGACGCGTGGAGCTGCTCGACTCGCGGGTGTGCAGGTCTGAGTACCACTCTGATTCCTGGTGCAGGTCTCTGCGCGTGGAGCGTGGTCTGGCCCCAGAGTTGCGGCAGCGGGAAGTGGACCTTCCTTGTCAGAACCCTAGCGGAGATCACGCTGGGTGTCGCCTGTGACGGGGATCCTCGGTCCCTGCGCGGGCTCTTGTTTTTTGTTAGGATGTTGCGGGCCCTTGGGGAAAACGTTTCCAAATTTTTCCGCAAAAAACAGTTATTTTTTCCTACCAATGATTTTCGGTGCATTCCGCCCCAACGAAAGTTTGTCCTGGCAAAGCAAAGTCAGTTCCCTAGGAACCCCATTATCTTTTTTTTTTTTTTTTTTTTTTGGTATTTGGAGTGGTTTGTGGGGGTTATCACGAAAGGGGAAGAGTAGCACAGACGTAGAATTAGGGATGCCATGCAGTGTATTTAAAATACCGAGGTTGTGGTTACGTAATAAGCAAAAGAGCCTGTTTCTTACGTCTAAATTATTTATTGGGAATGTAGGACAAATAAGGAAGTATGTTAACATTTTCAGGCGCCAGGTCCACAAAGTTGGATGGTAAAATCAGTACTTCAGATCGCAACATTTAAGGACTAACCCAATGCACCATGAAAACGAAGGCAAGACCGTCTGCGACCATATGGTGGGTGGTGTGGGAGGGGCCATTAATCCTATATTTTAAAAGGGCACTACCTTGGATTGTGAAAAATGAATGTTGGACCTCGAGGTCCTATATGACCAGGTTCTTAAAAATACTCTAGCAAGAAAATTTGAAGTGGTTTTTATCTAGTACTAAATAGTCTATATATATAATGTTCCATTGGGAAGGAGGTGAGTCAGCTTACAATAATGAAAGAGGTAGAAGCCTTTTCTGTTATTATTTTGGAAAAAAAAGAAATTGCCAGCCTGCCACCTGTGCTAGGCTGCACATGGCCCGTAAAGGTAGTTTGTCAGATACTTCAGTAGCAAGATGCTTACTGGATGTGTTTTGCAGAATGGTTTTAATTTAGTTAACAAGTGTTTATCGAATTCCTCCTGTTGCATAAGAATCATGAATAGGTGAGATCAGGAAAGGATCTTCTCTTACAGAGTTGAATGCTAGAGGGGCCAGCTTCACGAAAGTACCTCTACAATAAGTGGATTTTTCCATGTCAAATATGTGTAATCAATAATAAGTACTTAAAGAGGTTTAAGACCTTGCCATGGCCCATCTATGAGTTAATAAGGAACTGAATTAGAGTCCTGACTTTGAGAATGAAGATAGAGGATTATGTACAAGGTAAAATTGATGCAAACTTGGTGAGTATAATTTGGGGTGGGAATTGGGTAGAAGGAGGAATAAAAAAATTAATGTATTTTCAGCCCTAAGTTCCAGGAAGATGGACACACCATCAAGGTGTTAAAATTGTTAGTTCCATAGGAATAGTCTTTATGTTTTCTAAGTCTTTTTAGCTCCGATGACTCAAATTGTATTTCCTTGCACATATTTTATGTTAACAGGTATGTTTTAAAGATTTTAAATAGCCGCATTTGTAACATATGATTTACTCACAGTTGAGGCAGGCTGTTGGCTAGGTTAGGACAAATATCCTGATCATGTAGTTTCAGAGACCTTTGGAGGTAGCTGCCCATGATTTACAATTGCTGGCCTCTTCTGTGTGGTCACCTCAGCCATAAGTGAGAGTATGCAGGGTGAACTAGAAGATGGAGCCATTAACATTTCTATTTTACTGTCTTACAGGTATCTGTGGTGTTTGATTTTTGTAGAGGAAGGTTATTTATATAAGGCTTCACTAATATCCATTTAGTTATTTGGATAGGAGGTCCGTGAACTACAAAATGGTATTTCTGAGGCATCTCTAAGACAAATGCACTTTGAGTGCCCTAGAATAACTCCAAAAACTCACCAGTAGTTTTCTGCTAAATGTCAAGCAACCACAGTAACTGTCATGACATCACAGGAACTGCATTTTTCAGTCCCACTATGTCCAAGTTTTTGAGTGACAGATGCAGTTCCACTAAATAGCTACTGGAATACCCAGGGAAATAAGTCAGGTTGAATTAGTCCTATCAACTTTCTTTTTTTAGGATGAATCCCATCATCTGAGTAACTCAGGATTATGAAAGCCTCAAAATGTTTCTCTGTAAGAACCACAAGCAACACCAGAACAAACCCAAAGAGGGTTTAGGTGAAACTTAGCCTCGTATGTGCAGCAAAGAGATGTCAATAGAGCATTTGCAACTCTGATTTCTGAGGACTAGTAGGATCTCTTCCCAAACTTTTTCTTCTCTCTTTTAGATATACGATCTCACTTTGTTGTCCAGGCTGTTCTTAAACTCCTGTGCTCAAGTGATCCTCCCACCTTGATCCCCCAAATGCTGGTATTATAGGCATGAGCCACCATGCCCACCACTTTCCAAACTTGGAACTTCTTTACCTCATTTATAGTTAGACTCTAGGAAAGTTCCAAACCTCCTGAAATTGTGTGCAAAATATTATGTTGTATATGCATTTTCTAGGGATGAGGTTTAAGATTTTAATGTGATTCCTAAAAGGATCTGAGACTCAAGAAAAGATGGCATCTTAATTTATTGCACTTTTAGTCATTGAGGACATGTTCACAAAGATTGAAGCCATTTTTAGGCAGGTGATTTAGAGTGGTGGTCAGAAGTAGGTAAGATTTTCTATTTGTGAGGCAGGAAGAAGGGATTGGACCATTGTTCTTAAATACTGCTTTCTTACCCAAAATGTAAATCTGTGCCTAATCAGTTACACAGCAAAAATATTTACTATATTTTGGTTTTCCCCCTTGGGTACATTTGGCAAATACCTTTTTCTACTATAACTGGTATCTTTGCATCTTTTTATTTGGGTCTCAAGCTCACTAGGACTTACAATCTTTAAAGAAAAAAATTCATTTGATGAGTAATTAAATTAGGGGCATTAACTTCTTGTCAGCAAATTATGTTGGACTTTGTGTTTCTCTGGACTTTTTGTTCACTTTCTATTTGGGAGACCACAAAGTGTTTCCTATTGAAGTCACAGCATTTCTCTTGTCACTGTTACTACTTAAAGTAGCTGGAGCTTCATAGTTAAACAACAATGCCAGAAGGCTTTATAATAAGAGAATTATTTTACAGCTGTGGAATGCATATCGAATCAATAGGGCCCCAGTGTTGTTTCTCTGTTGAAAGATATCTTCCTTACAGGGTATGCAGATAACAATTTTGGCAGCCATCACCCTTCTTTGAAGGAAATATTAAGTGGGAAAGTTATTTTACTATTCTTCTCTAGTACTAAAGAATATGAATGATGTATGTTTTTAAAAAGCATAAATTCTTAAAGTGGACATTAATATTACTCTGTAAATTTATAAAATTTGTAAGATAATATAACATGTATTAATAAGTACTAAAACAGCACACAACTGTGACTTAAATTGAATAATTTTCATTGTACAGACTGAGTAAAATGTTTTCTGTTTTTATTTCGTCTCCTCTCGACACTTTTTTATAGGGCACCTATGATATGTGTTTTAGAAATAGCTGTTAAACTTTGGCTTGAATGAAGAATGTCTCTCAATCCACCTATATTTCTCAAACGAAGTGAAGAAAATAATTCAAAATTTGTGGAAACAAAACAGTCACAAACTACTTCCATAGCTTCAGAAGATCCCCTTAAAAACTTACATTTAGCATCTCAAGAAGTTCTTCAAAAAGCTCAGCAAAGTGGGAGATCAAAATGTCTCAAATGTGGTGGTTCCAGAATGTTCTACTGCTATACATGTTATGTCCCAGTTGAAAATGTACCTATTGAACAGATTCCACTTGTGAAGGTTAGTAAGAAATTTAATTGTTTGAAAGTAAGAAAATAGATTTTTAAAAGACATCTCATACATACCTATTTTAATTTAATTGATAAAGGAAGTATATTTATGGAAAATTTAGTCCTACAGACTACTAAACCACTTTGTTTTTCTTGTCTCTGGGTCTGAAATGGTGTTTTTAATGAAACCAATTTTTCATTAATAATTATAATTTCTTTGCAACATAGGAAAAATTGTGTGATATAAACATATGAATACTAAAAAAAAAGCTTATAGACACCCTGAAGGAGCTCCAAAAACTCAGGTCTTTGTACTGCTCCTTGAGAAAATACTATTCTAGTAGAACTAGTCAATTTTTACTTAGACTTTTATGACTTAATCTTATCCTATACATGGGGATGGAGCAGATTTCATTGACCAAAAGGAAAATAAAATTTAAAAACTAAGACTTATTCCCTGGGCTATGTTATCATTAGAGTGATTTTAAGCCCAATTTAAAAGGTCATTCGAATTGATTGCTAACATCCCAAACTTTAGGAATAAATCAATTAATGTATAAAATTTGACTACTGTTTATTACGACTTCAGAGAGAGTAAACCCTACACATGGGCTCATTAGAACTTGCCAGTTAAATAAAATAAAAAAATAAAAAATAATAAGTCGTAGCTGTATTTTTAAATATTTGTTGTGATGATTTTAAAGTTCATTTAAATTTGAAGAAAAGTACTTTGACACTCATATTTTATTTGAATTTCAATTTAGCCTATATCATCTTGACCAGTCCATGGTGTCCTCAGCATCTAAAACCACACATATAAGCTAATGGAAAGTTTATTAGCCAAGAATAAGGAAGTGTGGAATTTAATATAAGCTTCACAGTTTGCTCAGAAAAACCAAGAACTTGAGAGTAATAATTATTTTCAAGTTTCCCATTATCTTACAGGAATGTTACATTTTGAAGTATGGTTTTTGAAGTATACATAGAATTATTCTATCTTATAATTATCTCATTATTTTGACTGTAGCACTGGATTCAAGAATTTAATATATGTTAAAACTTATTAGATTGTACACTTTAAATATGTATAGTTAAAAACATAAGAAAAATAGTTTTGTCCTCCAGGGTAAAAGTGTGCCCAGGGTAAATTCCTAGAATCCTATTTATTTAATGTGGAATGGGAACTTGAAGATTGTGGGAAATACCAAATAAAACAAAAGGTCATTTAAAAGCTGAAGTCAAGAACACATCTCCAGAGGGTTTCTTATATATAGTAGGGTAGATGACTTGGCATTTTTTTCATAATCATGGCTGAATGCAGTACTTATATAAGAATTATAACAAGAGCTAAACCAAAAAACGCCGAAGCGAAATAAGAAAAGTGTAATTTAGAAATCCAAAAGAATATTATTTTTGCATAGAGACATGTTAGTCTGTAACAAATAATGAAACTTTAAGGGAAATACTTAGGCAACACGGGTCCCAATCCCCAGACCACAGACCAGTACAGTCCTAAGGAACCAGGCTGTACAAGAGGTGAGCTGCCAGAGAGCAAGTGAAGCCTTCAACTGTATTTACAGCCACTCCCCATGATTTACGCTGCCACCTGAGCTCTGCCTCCTGTCAGATCGGCGGCAGCATTAGATTCTCATAGGAGCATGAACCCTGTTGTGAACTGCATATTCATGGGACCTAGATTGCAGGCTGTTTATGAGAATCTAATGCCTGATGATCTGTCAGCGTCTCCCATCACCCCCAGATGGGACCATCTAGTTGCAAGAAAACAAGCTCAGGGCTCCTGCTGATTTTACATTATGGTGAGTTGTATAATTATTTCATTATTTATTATAATGAAAGAATAATAGAAATAAAGTATACAATAAGTGTAATGTGCTTGAATCATACTCTGCCCCAACCCTGGTCTGTGGAAAAATTGTCTTCCATGAAACCAGTCCTTCTTCCCAGAAAGACTGGGGACTGCTTTTTAGGCAAGATGATTTTAAAGAGAGTTTTGTGATATAAAGATTACACCTCTTAGACTTATTGTTACTATTTTTTAAATTGATAATTATTTAATTTGTGCTGTTGAAAATGTGATGCCGAAAATCATGATGTTTACTACAAAGGATAACAGTTTTGACCTGAAAGTATATATAAGGAACAGAATTTCAACTTGAATTTTAGATCTGAAGCTTTTTGCTCAAACTTACATTTCCTTTTAAAATAGCATAAGAGGCCAGGTGCAGTGGCTCACTTGTAATCTCAGCACTTTGGGAGGCCGAGGCAGGTGGATCACTTGAGGTCAAGAGTTCAAGACCAGCCTGGCCAACATGGTGAAAAACCATCTCTACTAAAAAAAAATACAATTAGCTAGGCATGGTGGCAGGCACCTGTAATTCCAGCTACTTGGGAGGCTGAGGCAGAATTGCTTAACCAGGAGACAGAAGTTGCAGTGAGCTGAGATTGCACCACTGCACTCTAGCCTGGGTGGCAGAGTGAGACTCCATCTCAAAATAAATAAATAAAAATAAAATTAAGTAGGCAAACCTAGAGTTTATAGGAATTATAAAAGTGTCCATGGCACACATACTGAAATGCAATAACAAATGAAAATGACATTGGAGCTTTGCTGTAAGAGAAGATTCTGTGTTAAATGAGTTGAAAATAATTGTCCTAATACATGATTAACAATTCCAAGGAAGAAATTTGAGTTTGCTTTGTAACAATCACCATTCTTAATATTCTGGTCGAGAAAAGTATAACTTTTAAACCATATGCATATGTATAGGAATTTATTGTGAGCTTCCTATGTAGCTTTAGAGACCCTTTGTATTAACATAAAAATTAGAATGTTTATATTTGTTTTTTTATTTGTCCTTTTTTTTACCTTTAGCTTCCATTGAAGATTGACATCATTAAACATCCAAATGAAACAGATGGCAAAAGTACTGCTATACATGCAAAACTCTTAGCACCTGAATTTGTAAACATTTACACATATCCTTGTATTCCAGAATATGAAGAAAAGGACCATGAAGTAGGCAACTTATTTTTTATAACTCTTCACATTGGATATAAAAATGAATTTTAACCTCCATTGCCTTTCTGAACTTACTCAAACATAATTTAATATTTTTCTTCATAAGCTAGCATTATGCTCAGGTAGCATTAGACAATATACAGTATATTTCATTGATATCTTCAAAGGTCACATGATTCTAGACTGCTATGCTTTTTGAGTCTCTCTGCATTTTATAGCTTTTCTGCCTTATGTCTAGGTTTTTACTCTTTGCCAATATTAATGTGCCTGCTTTTACTTTTTCGCCTCTCCTCCTGTCTCTGCTACACATAGATGATCTAATTTGATGCAAACTGGGAAACCAGATTACAAGTGTTGTTGGAATTTCTCTAAAAGAAGAAAACTGAGTTAGGATGTTCAGGAATCCTCCTAAATTAAGAGCTTTAATGCATAGCCTTTATAACATTTCTTTTGGCTGCTTAGAGGCCTTCCTTGCTCATTTTTAGATTCTTAATTGGTTTTCACTTAGTTGCAATTGCCACATTGGTGAGATGGGTCGTCTTACTGAAAAGCAATTTTGCAATATGTCTCAAAAAATTAGGCCTTGAGTACTGAAAGAAGCATGTAAAAGCCTTTTGGTCTCTTGGAGGCCATTTGTTGGTGTGGCTGATCTAGAAACAAAATTAAAAATTCATTCATTCATTTGTTCCAGGAAGAACTTGGTAAATTTTTACTTTCCTATTTATCTCTCTCTATATGTATTTTTTTGATTGAGTTTATATAGAAAATTATGTTTGTAAGTAATATTTAAGTTTTGGATCTAGGAAAATGCTTCCTTCTCTGGTCAGCTAGAGTCCATTTATGTTGATTAGAAAATGTAGTGCTAGGTTCTGTAAGGAGATGTGATATGCTTAAAATCTAAGAAAATTCAGAAGTGCTGGACTTTGCTAACTGATTATAGGGGGAAATATAGACATGTATTATGAATATTTTTAAACTTTCACAACTTTGAAATTTATAAAATTCAAGTTTTTTGCTTTTTGACAGAGTCTTGCTCTGTTGTTCCCAAGTTGGAGTGCAGTGGCACGATCATAGCTTGCTTCAGCTTTAAACTTCTGGGCCCAAGCAGTCCACCTACCCCAGCCTCCAGAGAAGCTGAGGCCCCAGGCATATGCCACTACTCCCAGCTAAGATTTTTATTCTTTGTAGAGACTGGTCTAACTATGTTGTCCAGGCTGGTCTCGAACTCCTGGGGCTCAAGTGATCCTTCCACCTTGGCCTCCCAAAGTACTGGGATTACAGGCATGACCTACTGTGCCTGCCCAAGATTTTTTTGTTTTTTAATTTTATTTTATTATGATTTTCTTTTTATCTTTTTAAAAATTTTTATGCTCATTGAATAAAATTTGGGAAATAGAGAAACATATGGGGATAAAATTCCCTTGATTCTACCAACATTTATTCACTTAACAAATATTTACTTGGTGCGTGCTTCGTGCCAAGAGCTGTTCAGACATTGGAGGCTCTAACAATATCAATCTCAGTAAAATTGTGCTGAAAGAAAAGAGCTATCGTAATTCATAAAATTTTCCTGGAAGGTTAGTTTTTTTCATTTAATTTTTCACTGTAATAAATATACTTAGATATTGTGCATGTGTGTGTTTAGGATTATTTTATTATGTTCCCATAATGAAATCATTCGGCAAAAGGGTATGAATATTTTAAGACTCTTGTTTTAAATTGTCAAATTGCTTTCATGAAGAGTTATGCTATTTAATCCTGACCTCAAACCACTGTTTCTTCACCAGCATTCACTGTCATTTATCTTTGCTTATGATATAGATGAAAATGGCACTTAATGACTGAAGAGTTTCAGTGGTTGTTTTACAAAGTATCATGTACTTTGCTTTTTATCTTACTAAAAAATTATATAATTTAGTCTTCTTATTTCAAGTATGATTAACTTGGCCTCTGTCAGTCGGCGAATAACATATTTTGAAATAATACTTTTAATTAGTATATTATGATTATAAATTACTAGGAGAGAGCTAGAACTTTACCATACATATTAAAGAGGCATATGCAATAGAACCAACCTACTGCTTGTTTCTCAAATATTCAACATGTTTTTCTTAAAATTTTAAATCAATCAAAATTTCTATATTTTGAAGATCATAATAGCACACTGCTAACCCAGTTTTATTTGTTTTAGGTTGCTCTCGTTTTTCCTGGACCTCAGTCTATCTCAATAAAAGATATTTCTTTTCATCTGCAAAAAAGGATTCAAAATAATGTTAGAGGCAAAAATGATGACCCTGACAAGCCATCTTTTAAACGCAAAAGAGCTGAAGAACATGAGTTCTGTGATTTGAATGACAGCAAGTGCAAAGGCGCAACACTGAAAAAAATTGTATTTATAGATAGCACCTGGAACCAAACAAACAAAATAATCACTGATGAGCGACTTCAAGGTAAAAAAAAAATGTTTTTTGGACTGCTCTTCCCTCAGACTTATTTTGAAAAACTAACAGACAATATGAAAGAAGAATTGGATTTAATACCTATACATTTAGCCACATTTGCTTTATTTCTCTTTCTCTTTATTACGTATATGAGTATGTATTTATATATTCTATATTTTTTTTGTTTTTTTGGTTGACCAATTGGAAGTTGACCAATCAGGCTTTGTAAAACTTCACCCTTAAATATTAAGTGTACATTTCTATTTTTTTAATTATTTTGAGACAATCTCACTCTGTTGCCCAGGATGGAGTGAAATGGTGCGATCTTGGCTCACTGCAACCTCCTCCTCCTGGGTTCAAGCAATCCTCCCACCTCAGCCTCTCATTTAGCTGGGATTATAGGTGCCCGCCATCATGCCTGCCTAAATTTTGTGTTTTTAGTACAGACGGGGTTTCACCACATTGGCTAGGCTGGTCTCAAACTCCCAACTTCAGGTTCTCCTTTTGCCTTGGCCTCCCAAAGTGCTGGAATTACAGGCATGAGCGACGACGTCTGGCCTAAGTGTACATTATCTAAGAATAAGAATATTCTTCTATATTAATAAAGAAATGACTTCTCTGTTATAAACACCCTAATGGTGAACACATTTACCAAGAAGTTATACCTTCTCTTTGGTTTTTTGTTTTTTACCTTATAGTTTTTGTTTTATTTTGTTCTTTTGAGACAGAGTCTTGCTCTGTCACCCAGGCTGGAGTGTAGTGGTCCAATCTTGGTTCACTGCAACCTCTGCCTCCTGGGTACAGGCAATTCTCCTGCCTCAGCCTCGCTAGTAGCTGGGATTACAGGCACACACCACCATGACCGACTTAAGTTTTTTGTATTTTTAGTAGAGACAGGGTCTCACCATATTGGCCATGGTGGTCTAAAACTCCTGATCTCAGGTGATCTGCCCTCCCTGGCCTCCCAAAGTGCTGGGATTATAGGCATGGGCCATGGTGCCTGGCCTGCCTTACAGTTTTAAAAAATAACTTTATTAAGGAATAATTAATATATAATAAACTACACATATTTAGAGAGTATAAAAGTTTTCTCCTTTGTGTACAGCCATGAGACCATCACTACAAGTAAGAAAATGAACCTATCCATCCCCTAGCAAAGTTTCCATCTGCCATTTTATGATCTTTCACATCCAGCTTTCCTCACAGCACTCTCCAACCCCATCTCTAATCTATCAATTGTCTCTATCTAATCATTTTAGATTAGATGCATTTTCTGGAATATTACATAAGTTGAATCATACAGTATGTATTCTTTTCCTTTTTCAGTTTGGCTTTCTCACACAAAATAAATAACTTGACACTCATTGTTCTTGTAGCGTGTATCAATAGGTCATACATTTATTTCCAACTAGTATTTTGTTGTATGGGTATGCTACAATTACTGTTACCTATTTATCTGTTGATGGATATTTGTACTGGCTGTTCCTCATTTTCTGCTGTTTCAAATAAAGTTGCTATGATACTTAAAAAAAAAGTATGTTCTCCTGTATAATAAATACAGTACCATTATTATTCCTAAGAAAATTAATGAAAATTCCATCATATCATCTAATATACTGTCTGTATTCAAATTTCCCTAACTGACCCCAAAATACTTCTTGTAGCTTCCCCCCTACAGCATTTAAACTTATCACAGTTTATTTGGTTATTATGTATATTTAGTCTCTTATTTAGAGCAGTCTTGTTTTTGTTTTTCATGACTTAGACTTTTGTGAAGAGTACAGGTCAATTGTCTGAATGTTTCATTGTGATTCATTTCAGTCTAAATATGTTGGCTAGGACATTTACAGGTAAGGATAAATCCAGGTTGTCTATGTCTAGTTTATATCTATTGTTTTGGTATAATTATTAATAGCATGTCATTGCACTCTCAGAAATGAACCTTTTAGCTGATAAATTGTATGGTTAACCAATTCATAGGTGAATTCATACTTTATTGTTGCATCAAATTAGGAGGCATATAATGCAAGTTGTTCTATTATTTGTGATAATTTTCATTACTTGATTAAAGTGGTGATTGCCAGTTCTCTCTTTTATTAAGGTTTATTTTTTCTTTTTGTAAGTAGTAGTGATCTATGGGTGATGTTTTCAGACTATGGACTGTTTCCAAAAACTTTTCACCAAGTAGTTTTAGTATTCATTGATGATCCCTGCGTGAATTGAATAATTACATTGAGAATTGAAAAATGGTGAAATTTTAATTGCATGATTTCTTCTACATTTGTTAGCCAGTATTCTTATGTAAAGAAGAGCTTTTCCTTTTTCTCTTGTTCTTTATTTCTCTCTCTCCTACCTCTTTTTGAGATCACTATGAACTTATGGATTTTTTTCTCTAATTCATTATGTTATAATCTATTATAGCATATTGATGCTCATCTTTTTGATACAATCTTTTTGATGCTCGAGTTCTCTCAAATTTTGTCAGTGGAAACCCTTCAAGTACTTTATGGCATGGCCTCCTTTGTCCTTTTGGTACAACAGACAAGTTCATTTGTACTTTTTTTCTGCCTCAGACCTGGAATCAATTGTTTTTCTAAGAAGCTATAGTTGCTTTTAATAGGAAATGGTATTAGAAACTAAGATCTGGTAAATTCATTACTTTTGGGATGTCATTCCTTCAGTGGATAGACCCAAGAAAAATACATAGTTATGCATCATGAGTTCACACAGATAGTTTTAATTCATATTTAACATTATAAGGATTTTTATTTATTTTAGAGTGAAAAGCTTGGTTCCTAATAACAGTCGTTTAAAAGAGTTACTTTACTTGCCCATGTATGATTAGAAGGCAAGAAAGCTATTCAGTCGATATTAGGCAATTGCCAAAACAGTTTTAAATTGGGAGAGCTTCTCTCACGCTAGTGTTAAAAATGTGCATTATCTAGAAAGAACATTTTGACACTTTTTGGAGTCTGGTGTTCATTAATACCAAGCTGAAGTGAGTGACAACACTAGATTTAACTAGCTTAATTTATATAGTTTATGCATCTGACATCTTCATACATGTTAGTAAGGTTGCTTTGACAGTCGAATTGTGTGTTCTTTGTGTTGCATGTGTGTGGGAGAGAGGGAAGGGCAGGTACTAAGGAGCAGAAGATCTGAAAGAAATTTTGTTGCCAGTGTTTAATAGAGAGACAAACTCCTGAGCCCTAAGCCTGTGCTCTTTGAAAGAGAAAGGGAACACCGCCTGCCACATTCCCATGGATGTTTACAGCAGCAGGTTACTCGCCAGTTTGAAGATATTTCTGAGCGATTTTTCTTTATTGTTACCTTATATGGTAATTGAAAAGATCAAATAAAAAAAATAAGTAGAAACCCTTGACATAACTATAAAAGGAATTATGTGGTATTATTCAAAATCTCATTTCAGAGTGTTCACATTTGGCTTGCCTAAAATCAGATTTGTACAAAAGATTTTTGTTATTCCTTCCCAAGTCACATGGGAAGTATCATATATTTTAGTTCTATGACAGATCAACAATTTTTAAAGGGGCTTCTTAATCTTTAAAATTATAAAAGAAACATTTCTAGAGGGAAGTTTTCTGCATGGCCTACTTCAACCCCTGTCCTTTGTAGCTCCTTATTGCACCACAGGAAATAATTAGGGCTCTACACTTATTTGTAACCTCTGTATATGTAAAATACTAATTTCTGAATAAACCAAGTTACTTCCATAAGAAACAGTCCATGTTTGTTATAAATTTTTGGCTTTAGGCTTTAAAACTTTTTGTCATTTCATGGGATTAAGCTGAACAAACTAAGTTAAACCTCAATTAAACCCTCAGGTATATTGGAAATTATCTTTCCATTATCTTACTATGAATGCTGAGGTTAAGAATCCCCTTAACAATGTAAAACCGGACTGTTTTGCCAAATTTTTACAGAGAAATAGTTCTGTATGTTCTACTAATGTCAAAATAAAGCACTTGAAGTTAGAGTGCCTAATTTAATCATAAAAGGTAAACCTAAACCTACAAGTGAAGAATTATGTAACATTCTTAAAGATTTACCATAGGAAGCCTTGGCAGAAAGTAGAGGGACACATTGTTTCTTTTTGTTGGGCTGGAGTCCAAATTATTTAAACATCATTACACTGTAATTTGTTTTAAAAATTAACCAGCTCTTTCCCTTCATTTTGACTATATATTGATACAACTTTTAAAGTGATAACTTTGTTCACATTATAAGCATTGCCTAAACTACACTCACTGTGTCAGTGAGTACTGTGTCATATACTACCTTATTCAATCCTCACATCAAATGTATGAGGTAAAGGATGGCATCCTCACTTTGCAATTGAAGAAATAATTGGGCAGCATTTTTGGAAGGAAAAGCAATTTGTAATTATCTACTTTAAGTTTCTCCTGCTAAAATATTTTACTAGTTTGGAACCAGGTGTAGTGGCTTATTCCTGTAATCCCAGCACTCCAGGAGATGACGGCGGGATTATCACTTGAATGCAGAAGTTCTAGACCAGCCTAGACAACATAGCAAGACCTACATCTCAACAAAAAATAATTAGCCAGGGGTGGTAGTGTGCACCTGTAGTCTCAGGTACTTGAGAGACTGAGGCAGGAGAATTGCTTGAGCCCAGGTGTTCAAGGATGCAGTGAGCTATGATCATGCCACTATACTCCAGCCTGGGTAAGAGAGCAAAATGCCACCTCAAAAAAATGTTCACATTTTTACTATAATTTTATTATAAAGTTACTAATTGTTAGAAATACTAGGATATAAAAAATCTTTTTGCATTCAAGAAACTGAAATATTTAATGTGTTCTAGAATGCATACATATATGAGGCTGGTAGAAAAGACTGGAGAAATTCAAATTATAAATGTCTTATTTTATTTAGCATATCTGGGAATTTGTTCTTTTATCCATAGGTGCTGTGGCATCATTAAAGAATTTTAAGCTTGTCATTGATATGATTAGATTGAATTTAAAGTCTAATGGAAAGAATCGGGCTGGGATGTGACTTCCAGCTCTAATTCTTTCACTAAATAAGCAAAGAGGTTTTGTTTGTTTGTTTTTCACTGTTTTATATTCTTAAATTGTGATACATATGAAAGAATACACACACATGCACTCACACACATATATATGTAACATTGTTATAAAACATATATAATTATTAAGAACTCATGCATCAAGATAGTATTTCTAACTTCCTTTTATTCATGTTCTTCTCCCTTGTGCCATTCTTTTTCTTCCCCTGACAGTTAATTATTTTCCTGGATTATGCTTTTTTAAATTACAGTATTACATATATCTGTTTTCGTAAACTATGTATTATTTAGTTTTGCTTTATTTTGACCTATATGTTGTTTTCTTGTGACTTGCTTTCTAAAGTCATATTTTGTTTCTCAGATTTATCTATATTGTCATATCACTGTAGCTATATTTTATTCAATTTCACTGCTGAATAATATCTGGGAGTATACTACAATTTATCTAGTTTCCTGCTAATGAAACACTTTGGTTATTTCTAGTTTTTGCTATTACAAATAATATACTACTCACATTCTTGTGCAAGTATAAGCTCCTCTAGGAAACAAACATACTGAGGCGTCACATTGCTGAGTTGTTGAGTATGAGAATATTCACCTTTACAAGATAATGCCAAATTGTTTTTCAAAGTGTATATACAAAGGAATATTTCCATCATTAGTGTATAAGAGCTCCAGCGATCCATAATCTCTCCTACCTTGGTATTATCAAATGTCTGATTTTTGCCAATCTGGTATGTATAAAATGGTGTCTCAATGTCGTCTTCATTTACTTTTCTCTAATTCCTAATTGGATTGAGAATTACATTATTTGTTTATTTGGCCATATACAGGTCCTATTCTGTGAAATATCTATGCCCATTTTTTTAGTGCTTTATCTTAATTGATTTGTAGAAATTATTTATATATTCTAGAATATAGATAATATTATAAAATACCTTCTTGCAGTTTGTGGTTCATCTTTTTAATCTCTTTCTTTTGAGGAAAAAATTCTTAGTGTGGAATTTATCAATATATCTTTATCTTGTTTGAATATTTCACTTCTCCAAGATACTATATGGCTAATAATTTGCTTTAGATTTTTTGTATTTTCTGTGTAAGTAATGTCAATTGCATTTATTTTCATTTCTTATGCATCTAATTAATTTGTTGTTCTTTATTACTATGTTAAATAAGACCTCTAATGCAATATTTAATTGAAGCCCCGTAGAGGTCATCCATCTCATGTTTCGATCTGATAATCTATGTCTTTTAAATAGCAACTTTAGTTTATTTACATTTGCTGTGAGTATTGATATAATTGGATCTACTTTCTACCATCTTAATTTTTTGTTTGTCCTTTTTTATAATTTTTGTTTCTTTTGATTGAGTGAGGTTTTTTCTTATTCCATTTTTATTCCTATTTCAGTTCTTTTAGAGAATTGCACACATCACCTAAAAAGTTCAAAGCCAGACATGTTAAATGTCTCCTTTTTTACATTATATGGACTTCATATGCTGAAGCTTCATTCAGCCTCTTCCTGGTACACATTATTATTGTTAATATCATTATTTCTGTTCTGTTCTTTATTGTCAGTCTACAAATTAGATATTATTATTATTTTTGTTTTATACAGGCAACAGTTATCTGGATTTGCATAGATGTTTACCATTTTCTTTACTCAGTGTGTTATCCAATACATCCTTTAGGAATTCCTTTAATTTGATCTCTTGTTGGCATATGTTCAGTTTTCATTTGTTTATTAATGTCTGTCACTTTTTTCTTGATACATTGTTCTGCTGGGTTCATGATTTTAGGTTGCCAGTTTTGTTTTTTGTTGTTTTTGTTTTTTCTTTTTTCTTTTTTTTTTTTTTTTTTTTGACACTTGAAAGATATTATTCTAGTGTCTTCAGTATACTGTTGTGGCCAATGGGAAGTCTTTTGGTCATTCTAATTACCTTTTCTTTGTATATGATCCATCCCTTCTCCATGGCTTCTTTTAAAATCTTCTCTTTATCTTTGATGTTTTGCAGTTACATAAGTATGTAATAGATCTAGGCACTGATTTGTTTGTATTTATACTGCTTGAGACACATTATGTTTTATGTATTTGTGGCTTTGCATAGTTGAAAACAGTTTCTGGAAAAGTCATAGGCATTATCTATTTAACTGCTCTCTCTCTCTCTCTCTCTTTCATTTTCTTTGTTCTCTTTTCCCCAAACTCTTTTTAGTTATTTAATCCTCCTTATCTCTTAATATCTTTGCATTTCTTTTATTATTTATTTATTCTACATTTCTGGGGTAGCTTTTGAGAAAAAGTGAGATGTGACAGTGGGCAATCATTAATGACTTAGAAGTTCCAGTTGGTCATTGGGCCAATTTTGATGCTACCTTCTCTCTTTTATTTCTCAGTTTAAAATAAAATTTGCAAAAACAAACAAAAAGGGGGCAAATAAATATAGTATGAGTCCAATTACTGGCCAACGGAGCTAAAAGCATTCTGGATTTGTATGATGACAGCTGAGTTATAACGGATGAGAGTACTGTTCTGTGATTGCATTAATTATTCCCCTTTTAAATGTGCAAGAGCAAGGCATTCTACCTGACTGTGATATTGAGGCTCTGCAGCATACATGTAACAGAGCTAAAACAAACAAAAGACACCATAGCTTTAGGATGCTTTGTTCATAAAGATAGCCTGAAAGTGATAATCAAGAAGTAAACTTTAACCAGTATTAAGGACCATTAAGCTGCCTATCTCTCTCAGTTAATGATATTTTAAAGGTCAGTTTAGGCCAGGTACTATAGCTCACACCTATAATCCCAACACTTTGAGAGGCCAAGGCGGGAGTATCATTTGAGCCCAGGATTTTGAGACCAGCTTGGGCAACATAGCAAGACACTATCTTTAAAGAAAAGAAAAATACAAAATCTTAGCTGGATATGGTGGTGTGCGGATGTAGTCCCAGCTACTTGTGAGGCTGAGACAGGAGGATCACTTGAGTCCAGAAGTTTGAGGTAACCGTGGGATGTGATCATGCTGCTGTGATCTAGCCTGGGTGACAGAGCAAGACCCCATCTCTAAACAAACAAAAATATTAGTTTGTCAAGGAAATTAAACCCTTCTGAAAATTGGTGAATGTAGTCCTGTCAGAGATTCAGATTTTTAAAGATGCTGGTATATAGGAGATAAGAAGACATGAATATCTTAAATGTTAACTACTTTTAATTCATTGGTCTAAGACTCAGTGTTAACTGTCATGTATAAGATTTTATTCTTTGTTTTATGTTGCTTCTGTATATACCTTAAGGTGTTTAAGAAAATATTTCAAGCTGGTTTTGAAGGAACTTATCTGTAGTCTTTAAAAAAAAAGTGTTAGAATAATTAAGAGAAATCATTATTATTGTGCCAGGCCTGTGGTTAAGAAGAAATATTTATATTTTTTCTTTCTTTCTTTCTTTCTTTTTGACAGGGTTATTACAAGTTGAGTTGAAAACAAGAAAAACTTGCTTTTGGCGCCATCAAAAAGGAAAGCCAGATACTTTCCTTTCTACAATTGAAGCCATTTACTACTTTCTGGTAGACTACCATACTGATATATTAAAAGAGAAATACAGAGGGCAATATGACAATCTTTTATTTTTCTATTCTTTTATGTACCAGTTGATAAAGAATGCCAAATGCTCTGGAGATAAGGAGACAGGAAAACTTATACATTAGTTTTTAACAAGCCACTTATGTCCTTTTATTTTGCTAAAATTAATAAACTTATATTTCTGCTTTGTTTTTTCTTAAGAAATAATTATATATAATGCCTGTAAGACCATTTGAAAAAATTCGAGTCTCTCATATATTACTTTATATTTCTTAAAAGGAAGGAAATTGTATCTAGGGGAATTTTCAGAGATTCTTTTGACTGAAAAACTTATTTCAGAAGTTATTTGCTCAGTGAAACCTCAGTTTCATTACTACATTTTAATATAGTGTGTTTTGTCTCTGTTAGATATAACATATTCAATTAGATCTAATTAGCTCTTTATTTCAACATCTTTATATCTTTTCACCTGTACTCATGACCACCTTTAGAGGTAAATGGGGTTACAGTCTACTGGCTGAAAAATAGGTCATAAGTGATTTTTCTTGAGGTTAGTAGCAAACATAGGCAGAACTAGAATTAGAGTTCCAATATGTAGGACTGTTTCTTTAAGTCCTAAGGTTGTTAAAAGCAGAGACTCTGGAGCTAGATTACCTGAATTTAAATCTCAGCCTTTCTACTTATCAGCCATGTCAGTTTCTTCCATTTGTACAGAGCAGGCAATACTGAGCAGCTACCTTATAGGATTAACTGGAAATTAACTGAGTTAATATTGAAGGGGCTTTTAGCAGTACCTGAAATATAATAAGTGTTATATATATATGTTTGCTCTTTCTATTTTATTTGGAATTGTGATCTAATAATAATTGAAGCCTGGCTGCTAGTGGCCATCTCTGCTGCCAGGTGAAAAGAGCCTGCCTTAGAATGAAGTCGGCAATGGAAAGCAGAGTGGAGAAAGAAAAAGAGAGACTGAGTCCTGATGACATCATTTACTCACCTAGACCTAGCTGCTTGTGAATAGAGCCCTACTGTGCTGAGTAGCTTCTGTCTACTCTTTTCTATTCTGCTCTCTGCTCTGTGAGGTAGGTTCCCTTGCTCTCTTGCTTTTGGTTGGGTTCAACAAAATGGGAAGTACCAGTGGGAGATTAGATGTAGAGGAAAATGAAATGATGTACTTTATTTTCCTCTCCTTTCCTGCCCTGTCATAATCAGTTGGCTTATCAGGAATCCTATCCCTTCTGTTCCCAAGCAGTTATCCCAGTTACCTCACTAGGTTTAGTTCCTGCTCCCTCACTTTACCCCTTTTCACTTATGGCTGGTAATAGCTTATAGTTATTGATAGCCCCAGGGTAGTTCACAACCACTTGTTGCTTTCCCTAAACGCTGCTTGGACATTTGTAAATATTGCACTTGTTTTATTATACTCTTCTCAAATGTTCCCATTTGAAGTTGCCTTCTATTTCATTTTGGTACTCTGATAAATTCACCTGTTTGGGTGAAATAATATCACATTTCCTGAAGTATATACAGTGGGACACATCATGCTTTATGGGGGAAAATAGCTCTTGGTGAAATTAATTTGCTGTACATTAGTTTGTTTCCCTTCTAGGGATTCAGAAGGCAACCCATATTAAAGGTTCTGGAAAGTCCTGAAATAAACATTTTGAACTTTTTTTAAGCTGATAGATCTTAAACTTACTTGAATGTGTAGCACCTACTAACATTCCGTGGAAATAGGACATTTGGAATATTGTAATTAAGAGCAATTCCTATTAATATACATGTGGCAACTGAGAATTAAAGAGGTAAGTAAATTGTTGATAGATCATACTCCTAGTTGGTAGCAGAGCCTATTCTGGAATCTGGAACTTCTGATTTGGTTTGGTTCACCATTATATTATGCTATTCATAAAAAGGACTGTGGATTATATAAGGTTTGAACATTATTAGTCTTATAGTCTTAGCCAAATAAATTAACTGGCTTGCTTATTCAGCAGTTATTTTACAAGAATGGAATTAAAATAGTTTTTTAGTTGTTGTTTTTGTTTTTTATGTTTAGAACTTGGCCCTGAGAATACAGGAAGGCTTGAATTGATTTAAGCAGGGCCAAAGTTGGATTTCTCTGGGCTGTATTTGGACTTCCCTGAGCCAAAATCTATTGCATTTAACTGGCTTTACAAACCGACTAAATGTAACAGTTCAGAGGGAAAAGAAAAAAAAAAAGTGAGAGACAGAATAATTCTATCACTCATTTGCCCCCATCTTTCAGCTGGCACAAGAAAGATGACCCACGTAGTTGGTAAGAGCCTAATTTACAGCTAAGGCTAGATAAAATCTCAGGTTCTTTTCAAAAGAAGATAATAATGCCATTTAGAACAATGAACTGACTATACTTGTCTGGTTTTTCTTTGGTGTGATAGATTTAATAATGGCCCTAATTCCCTAATTCTTTATTCTTCCCTGTATTCATGGTCATTTTTCAGGTTCCTTTGAATTACTCCCCCCACTGTGATTCTGGGTCATAGGCATCCAGAGATTTAGTGCATTTTTACTTACTCTGTGTTTCTGCTGTCAACATAGAATATGCTTGGCTGAGTTAGCCTGCTGGAGGATGAGACATCCATGGAGCAGAGCAAGGTTTCCCTGGTCACCCTCACTGAATCCTGTCTAGATTGGCTGATGGCCAACCAAACCCAAGATATGTGGAGGATTCCAGCCAAGATCAGCAGAGCCATCTGACTGACACCTACCTGATTCCAAATATATGAGCAAGGAATGTCTATTATGCCACCAAAGTTTTATAGCTATTTATTGTGGCTATAGAGATCTCATTTTTGGATGCATTATCAGATACAGCTTCTTCAAGTACCTAGAATATTCTCAGTCTTGTGTTTCTTGGGCTCTTGACCACTTGCTTTGCCTTAGGTATCACCTCACATAGTAACAGATTACCAGCAGGCTTGTATGATTCCTCTGCTTGAGATCAACTAGCCATATGTTCAGAATCTCTGGCTTATACCAACACTTCTGGACTTTAAAAACTCCATGCCACAATGACTTAAAAGGGCTAGGTGAAGCCCTTTCTTCCTCACTCTTATCAGCCTGGTTTGTACCTTTTTTTTTTTTTTTTTTTGAGACGGAGTTTCGCTCCTGTTACCCAAGCTGGAGTGCAATGGCCCGATCTCGGCTCACCGCAACCTCCGCCTCCTGGGTTCAGGCAATTCTCCTGCCTCAGCCTCCTGTGTAGTTGGGATTACAGGCACGCGCCACCATGCCCAGCTAATTTTTTGTATTTTTATTAGAGACGGGGTTTCATCATGTTGACCAGGATGGTCTCGATCTCTCGACCTCATGATCCACCCGCCTCGGCCTCCCAAAGCGCTGGGATTACAGGCGTGAGCCACCACATCCAGCTGGATTGTACCTTTAATAAAGTAGTGGATATATTTCCTTTAGGCTCTCTTCTAGGGAAGTCAGATGTTTTAGTCTGGGTTTATTTAGAAAAGCAGCACTGTTACAAGTGTTAATGAATAAAGAAGTTTAATAAAGAAATTAAAGTTTACCCCAATGTGGGAATTACTGGGGTAATAAAGGTCTGGAAGGCTACAGTAAAAGAGATTTAGAGAAGTAGTGACTAACTAGGTCAGCCCAAGATTCTCAAAGTGCTCGTGACTTCGTTTGTAGAAACATGTATATCTTAAGCATATCAAGGTTCTCATTCCTCTAATCTTTCTAGGAGCCCTTTGGTTCATCCTGAAAGTCCCCTAAATCCCTTCAGAAGTCTTAAAAAGGGTAAATGGCTATACCTTTTATTTGATCTTTTCTTTGAGGCCATATTAATGGCAGCTCTTTGGTTTGGTCTTTGTATTAGGCTGTGTTTGATGATCACATTTTATTTGATAAGAAACAATTTTATTTTCTAGTTCTGCATATCCTAGGTTATATATTTCGTTTCAGTTCCATTTGCCTTAATTTTGAGCTTTTCTGTTTCTTACATTTCTTATTTTGAAAAAATAAACTGACTGTTATTAAGTATAATAGGTAAGGTACCTAAGAGCCTCAAAATACTACCAAATGCCATGAATGCATTAGGTATACTTTTTTGTCTTCCATGTTACTGGAAGCATTAATTAGAGCAAATTTTTATCTCCAAATACTGACAGTTAAAAGACCCTAGTGAGGCCGGGCGCAGTGGCTCACGCCTGTAATCCCAGCACTTTGAGAGGCTGACGTGGGTGGATCACGAGGTCAGGAATTCAAGACCAGACTGGCCAACATGATGACACCCTGTCTCTGCAACAACAGCAACAACAACAAAAAAATACAAAAAGTAGCTGAGCATGGTGGCTCATGCCTATAATCCCAGATACTTGGGAGGCCAAGGTAGAAGAATTGCTTGAACTGGGACCCGGGAGGCAGAGGTTGCAGTGAGCCAAGATCATGCCACTACACTCCAGCTTGGGCTACAGAGTGAGACTCCTTCTCAAAAAAGAAAAAAAAAAAGACCCTAGTGAAAAGTTTAGCCAAACACATATTGACCCTACATTGAAGGCCACCAGCCAAAAATCACCACCCATATATAAGAGCCAGTCATCACTAGACACTTGGTGAATCCTTCAAATAAAAAGGAGGGGAGAAAATCCAAAGGAAATAGAGAATAATAATGGCAACAAAAAACAACTATCTTCAAAATAAGAGAGAATATATTGTATTCACAAAACAAGAATAGGAGAGTGTGAAAAAGACCAAACAATAAAAAAGAGATCCCAGAAATTTTTAAGTAATTGCTGAAATAAAAATTAAATATATGGTATAAATAAATTTTTTTTAAAAAACATGGTGTTAAGGTTTTACTCTGAGTGATGAGATAGAAAGCAATCAGGATTTAAGCAAAGGAGTGACAAGATTTGACTTATATTTTTAAAGGATTATTTTGGCTTCTTGGTGAAAAATAGACTGCAAGAGAGTAAGAAAATAGGAAGATCAATTGGAGTGCTATTTCGTAGTCCATTTGAGAGACAATATTTGCCTGCACGGGGGTTGTGATCATGGGAGAGTGATACAGAATGACAAGATCCTGCATATGTTTTGAAGGTAGTGCCAGTATTTGCAAATAGGTTAGATACTGTGGTAGACATGAAAATGTGCTGCCTAGATCCCCCTTCCAGGAAGGACTTGCTTATTAGCTGCAGGGAGTTTGGAAAACAGCAATCCTTCAGCTATCAGCACTTGATCAGCAACAGCTATAGAAAAAACTTCACCTGAGGTGACCCTTGCCCTAGATCTCAGGGCTGAACTTAGTGGAGATGTAAGGTCTTGCTGTTTCAGCCTCATTTATTACACTGTCAGGCAAAACCTGCCCCAGAGCTCCCTCTATTGGAACTTGATTTCTTCTGCCCAATCCTGCTTTCTCCCCTTCCCCTGCCAGGTGACACTTTCTAATAAACATCTTACACCCCATACTCCATCTCAGCATTTCTCTTTAGAGGACTCAATCTGTGGTCGTTGTTAGCAGGAGTTATCTGAGCTGCCATTGAGGATCCCATCACATGTGGCACATGGAACAAATAAACCCATGGCTCAAGGTGGTAACTTTTATTAGTGGTAAAAGGAGATTTACCCATGGAAGAGAATGTGCCAGTGAGTGCAAATATCAGGTATTTGAGACGCATGAAGGAAATAGTAGATTTAAGAATAACAGAATTGAATGACCAAGTGCCACTAATGTTCTATAGAAAGCGGGCTTCTTTGGTTGCATATAAAGCTTATCTAGGATTTAATAGTCCAAGTAGCCAAACTAGTGACACTTTCTAATAAACATCTTACATCTAATAAACATCTTTATTCTTAAGTGCCCTTAAGAATAAATACTGGAAGATCAAGCACAGCATGTGAATGGACATACTTATGTCAGGTATGTGCATGAACTGTAAAGGTCTCTGTGTCAATGTGCAGTGCTCACCAGAGAGCATTCAGTGCTGAAGAATCACTAAACAATAAAGCAAACTAAACACTTTGCCTAGTTGACATCATCCATCCTGCTTCAGTTATTGGCTACCCAGTGCTGGCACAGTGGGCACAT